CTTCCTTCTCTGTTTGTACATGTTCACACACATGGCTTTTTGTTGTTTTACTGTAAAGTGCCATGTACATCATGTAAATAAATGACAATTCTAATGCTAATAATACTTCTTGACTCTCAGGATATTATGCAATACAATCTGTTAGAACCCTCTACCCCACAAGACATTTTTTCTTCCAATTCAGTTCATCTTCAGCTCAGTTTTATGATTCCCTAGTGAGTGCTAAGAAACCTGAGAGCTAGAAAGATGACGTTTTATAAAGCACTTTATTTGACTTCTTCGTTGTATTTATATGGCAAACTTGATGTGATCCCACATTAAGAGAGAAAAGGCTGATTTATGTCAGGTCAGAGCCTTTTTGTGGTGTCCCCAACTCTGGAATTTGTTGCTTGAGATATATATATGACTCCATTTTGGTCTCCTTCTAGTGAACCTTGAAACCTTTTTCATGTCACACTGATTTCACTGATTATTTTATTGACATGATATGCTGCCTCTAGCTGTTTTCCATTATTTTCAAAGTTGATCTCTTGTTTTTTAAAAAAAATATGTATGCTTACTTTGTTCCATTTGTTTTATCAGTCCCTCTATGAGAGTTCTTCCTGAAAAGCAGAATATAGATTTACTCAATCAATTAGGTAAGCAATAAGTTATGGCAATTTTTTCTCAGAAAGGAAGAGACCATGAAAATGAACAAAATCTGGCTACCAGTATTAAAAAAACTCTAAAATTAAAACAGCAAAACAGCAGAGAGGAAACAACCAGGCACATCTTAACACCTCTCAACAAAAGATTTTCCCAGGCTCAGCCAGGCCTTCAAATGCTAATGAAGGTGGTCAGTTGAAACATTCACACCTGTGAACTATCGTAGTTCACAGCAACATATGTGCAATGTGATCAGTTGCATCAACTCACATAATGCCCTTTTATGAGAGATGTAAAATGAGCTTTCTTTGTTTATGTGGATAAACCCCTTCATCATTTCAGGAAACGAGAGTACATTTTACACCGTCTCTCTCTGCTTCGCTCTTTTTCTTCTGTGTTTCTCTCTGAGCATCTGCATATCTGACCTAAACAAAAATGTAACAGTAACCAAAAGTCCAAGGCTCAGCCATCTGCCCACACGAAGCCCAACCAATCGGCTTAATGCATCTTATTTTACAGTTGACACACACACACTAACTGATCTCTTGCATGCTCCAACATTACATCCTTTTAAATGCCTTCTTCTCTTATGTATATATCTAAAACTGTAAAATGTAGATGTAGTGAAGAGCTGACTCAAAACAAATATGTCATGCAGTTTTTCTTACAGAGCAAGGTTTTGCTACAACTTGCCACTACGTTCACACCTACAGGGGAAAAGGCTGGCCTAATTTAGACTCCATGTATCATTTTTTAAAATGGCAAATAATGTAGAAGAGTATTGTGACAGTAAGGGGGGGGGGGCTGCTGTTTTGGTCTCTGTTGTTACTGAAAGGAGCAAGGAGAAAATGCTTTTCCTTTAAAGTAAGGAGGATGTTTCCTTGAGCCTTGTTTACCAGTGGAATCAGAACCTCTCTTTTAAAGATAACCAACATTTGTCATGATCAAATACTGCCCTTAGAAATATTTACTTTTGGAAACAGCACATACGCACCAAAGCCACTTCCCAAATAAGTGAAGAAGAAAAATACGTAGAACCCCACAGCCTTGGGTTTGCAATCGGTGTTTAGATGTGTTTTCCAAGATTACAACTCTAAACAAAATCAAAAATTCCTATGGGGTGTTGAGGCAAAACCTCCTTTTGTTGATCATTTTAGGTCATTCACCAGCTCATTATATGGAGCTATGAACTTTTCCACTCAGAGATACTCTGCTGACGTTAGATATCATCTTATCCCTCAAGGACAAAACAGAAGAGAAACAAGAGCTCTTTGATTTATTTTCATTTATTCATTATTTATCAAATGCCTTGTATTTTCAAGGTGTAGCTCAGTTTTTTCCCCAACAGTCTTCTTCCTAGAAATAGAATTAATGCGGGGGTTGAAAACCTTAGGATCTAGTGGTTGTTCTCTGGGTGGTACAGATGTATTTGTATTATGTGTATCTGATTTATTTCTGTTTTCTGTATACCACCTTTTCTCAATAAACATTATTTTAAAAATAATAAGTATCCATTTTCTATTGCTCCCACCCCCAGAAAAAGGGGCTGAGCTGAATCAGGTTGATAGAAAGACAAAAATGTTAAGGTAAGAGGTATGTTATAGGGTTGCTGTGAGTTTTCTGGACTGGAAAGATCTTGGAGTCCTTGTGGACAACAAGTTAAACATGAGCCAACAATGTGATGTGGCGGCAAAAAAAGCCAATGGGATTTTGGCCCGCATCAATAGGAGCATAGTGTCTAGATCTAGGGAAGTAATGCTACCCCTCTATTCTGCTTTGGTTAGACCACACCTGGAATATTGTGTCCAATTCTGGGCACCACAATTCAAGAGAGATATTGACAAGCTGGAATGTGTCCAGAGGAGGGCGACTAAAATGATCAAGGGTCTGAAGAACAAGCCCTATGAGGAGCGGCTTAAGGAGCTGGGCATGTTTAGCCTGAAGAAGAGAAGGCTGAGAGGAGATATGATAGCCATGTATAAATATGTGAGAGGAAGCCACAGGGAGGAGGGAGCAAGCTTGTTTTCTGCTTCCTTGGAGACTAAGACGCGGAACAATGGCTTCAAACGACAAGAAAAGAGATTCCATCTGAACATGAGGAAGAACTTCCTGTGAGAGCTGTTCAGCAGTGGAGCTCTCTGCCCCGGAGTGTGGTGGAGGCTCCTTCTTTGGAAGCTTTTAAACAAGAGGTTGGATGGCCATCTGTCAGGGGTGATTTAAATGTAATATTCCTGCTTCTTGGCAGGGGGTTGGACTGGATGAGCCATGAGGTCTCTTCCAACTCTTTGATTCTATGTATGGCCATGTTCCAGAGACATTCTCTCCTGACGTTTTGCCCACATTTATGGCAGGCATCCTCAGAGGTTGCAAGGTCTGTTGGAAACTAAGCAAGTGGGTTTTAATATAAATGTTATTGTATTATTGACGTTTTAGTTTTATGTTTATGTTCAAATGTCAGTTTATGTTTAATATGGTTAGGTTTTTAATTTATTGTTATATGTTATTGTCTAGTTATATGTCTTTGTTTTCCCATGTTATGTACAACGTAGAATTTTGCCATTATTATGTTGAAAAATGCCTTGAGTCCCCTCAAGGGAAGAAAAGTGGTATATAACAGTGATAAATAAATAAAATATCTGTGGAATGTCCAGGGTGGGAGAAAGAACTCTTGTCTGTTTGAGGCAAGCGTGAATGTTGCAATTGGCCACCTTGATTAACATTTAATGGCCTTGCAGCTTCAAAGTCTGGCTGCTTCCTGCCTGGGAGATTTTTTGTTGGGAGGTGTTAGCTGACTCTGATTGTTTCATGTCAGGAATTCCCATTTTTTTGAGTGTTGTTCTTTATTTACTGTTCTGATTTTACAGGTTTTTTAAATAATGGTAGCCAGATTTTGTTCATTTTGTTGTAAGTACTCCCAGTAACAAAGAAAAGCCTTTTTTGAAAGGTGCTTACTGTATCTGTAACACAATAGTTTAATGCACACTTTTAAGAGAAATGAAAACTTCAACTCCAGCTCCAGGTGAGGGACAATTAAGAACTATACACAGTTCTTTATGGCCTTTCTTTCTCGATATGTAACAAGTTATACATCTATATAAATAAATATAAAAATGTAATGTTCGATTGTGGGATTAACATAACTCAAAAATCACTGGACGAATTGACACCAAATTTGGACACAATAGGCCCTATCGGGCCAACGAGTGACCATCACTCATAAAAACACTGAAAAACACAACGGAAGGGACTTAAAAATAAAAAAATACATTACAACACATGCACAAAACCACCTATACACACATATACACAAATATACACACACAGAACACATATACACAGACTGGGATATATATATAGAGAGCAATCTTTACCCACTACCGTAGCCTTTTTATTGATATATATATCAATAATATATCAATAATATATATATCAATTCGTCCAGTGATATATATATATATATATATATATATATATAAAGGCCACAGTAGTGGGTAAAGATTGCTCTCTAGATCCCATTCAAAGCCCTGTTAAAATGAATGACTTTGATAGCTGGCAAATAAGAGGGAGAAAACATGGAGGCTATGACAGACTTTGTATTTCTAGGTGTGAAGATTACTGCAGACGCAGACTGCAGCCAGGAAATCAGAAGGCGTTTTCTTCTTGGGAGCAGAGCAATGGACAATGTCAACAAAATAGTGAAGAGTAGAGACATCACACTGGCAAGGAAGGTCCGCATAGTTAAAGCAATGGTATTGCCCGTAGTAACCCAAGGATTTTTTTTTGTCGTGTCAGGAGCGACTTGAGAAACTGCAATTCGCTTCTGGTGTGAGAAAATTGGCTGTCTACAAGAACGTTGCCCAGGGGACACCCAGATGGACTGATGTTTTTATCATCCTTGTGGGAGGCTTCTCTCATATCCCTGCATAAGGAGCTGGAGCTGATAGAGGGAGCTCATCTGCCTCTCCCCGGATTCGAACCTGTGACCTGTCGGTCTTCAGTCCTGCTGGCACAGGGGTTTAACCCACTGCGCCACCGGGGGCTCCCAACCCAAGGATGCAAGAGCTGTGTGTTTTCAAAGTCTGTACTGCAATAATTTGGAGCAGGGCATATAGTGCAGTGGCATCTAGTATACTGAATGTTTTTCCATTAGAATTCTGCATCTATTCATAGTTCAACAAATGTTTGAAAAATATTTATTTAAGCAACCTTTCCCTGTGTAGTGCCACCTGACACCTATTTCTTAGGTCTCGTATAGCCTCTTTATGTATCTGCCCATATATTAGGTCTAATAGTATAGGAGGCTTCAGCTTGATATCAATTCTTTGTCAAATTGAAAATTTAATGAAAGGCTGCCATTAAGTCCAAGAGGTTTTATTAAATAAAGCATCAGTGACACTGTAATGCTATTTCTTTTTCATAGCTCTCTTTCCTTCTCCTTTCTTCGGAGGTCCTTTTCCACGGAGCTTCTTCAGACGTTTCATTTCATCTTTGAAATCTTCATGTTCATCCCTAAAACAAAGAGGACAGAGAACATGTAAATACACAGAAAAGGGCGATTTTCAGACTAGAGTGCCATTTGCCAACTTGAATCAATGCACAAGTCAGCTTAAAGAAGATGAAACAATAGGGTTGGCAACATCGCATCCTCCAGATTGTTTGGACTACAACTTCCACATACCCAGGAAACCTGGCTGTTGAGACATTTGAAGTTTTGTGCAGAGTTGTTCATGGTAGAATCATAGAATAATAGAGTTGGAAGAGACCACATCGGTCATCTAGTCCAACCTCCTGCCATGCAGGAAAATCACAATCAAAGCACCCCTGACAGATGGCCATCCAGCCTCTATTTAAATGCTTCCAAGGAAGGAGTTTCCACCATAGATCCTTTAATCCCAGGATAGTTAGTCTGAAACTTTAGACATACAAACCACTGCTTCTAACTTTCAAACTATTTATGCCATCATATTGGAGGTTTTGGTGAAAAGTAATTTAGTAAATGTAAGATTTGTTGAAGCCATTACAAAGGTGATTTCTTCATCTCCTTGTTAAAGTAAGTGGGAGATCACAGTGAGACTAGGGCAGTGTTTCTCAACCTTCCTAATGCCACGACCCCTTAATACAGTTCCTCATGTTGTGGTGACTCCCAACCATAAAATTATTTTTGTTGCTACTTCGTAACTGTAATTTTGCTACTGTTATGAACTGTAATGCAAACATCTGATATGCAGGATGTATTTTAATTCACTGGACCAAATTTGCACAAATACCTTACATGCCCAAACTTGAATACTGGTGGGATTGCGGGGGAGGGTGATTGATATTGTCATTTGGGAGTTGTAGTTGCTGGGATCTATAGTTCACTTATAATCAAAGAGCCCACATTTTTTTAAAAAACAGCAAACTAATGAAGGGGAGCAAAGATTTGAAAGTTTACTTTTAAAATATTGCTACTCCTGACTAATTTGTACTGAAAGATGTAAGGCATATGACATATCCAATGTGGTAAACCAACATTTTTTATATAACACCACTCTGATGGCCGAAAGCGAGGAGGAGCTGAGGAGCCTTCTAATCAAGGTGAAAGAAGAAAGCGCAAAAGCCGGGTTGCAGCTAAACGTCAAAAAAACCAAGATTATGGCAACAAGAATGATTGACAATTGGAAAATAGAGGGAGAAACCGTGGAGGCCGTGACAGACTTTGTATTTCTAGGTGCAAAGATTACTGCAGATGCAGACTGTAGCCAGGAAATCAGAAGACGCTTACTTCTTGGGAGGAGAGCAATGTCCAGTCTCGATAAAATAGTGAAGAGTAGAGACATCAGACTGGCAACAAAGATCGGCCTAGTCAAAGCCATGGTATTCCCTGTAGTAACCTACGGATGTGAGAGCTGGACCTTAGGGAAGGCTGAGCGAAGGAAGATATATCCTTTTGAGCTGTGGTGTTGGAGGAAAGTTCTGAGAGTGCCTTGGACTGCGAGAAGATCCAACCAGTCCATCCACCAGGAAATAAAGCCCGACTGCTCATTGGAGGGAAGGAGACTAGAGACAAAGTTGAAGTACTTTGGCCACATCATGAGGAGACAGCAAAGCCTAGAGAAGACAATTATGCTGGGGAAAGTGGAAGGCAAAAGGAAGAGGGGCCGACCAAGGGCAAGATGGATGGATGGCATCCTTGAAGTGACTGGACTGACCTTGAGGGAGCTGGGGGGGTAACGGCCGACAGGGAGCTCTGGCGTAGGCTGGTCCATGAGGTCACGAAGAGTCGGAGACGACTGAACGAATGAACAACAACAAAAAACAAATAAAACGTCAGGGTCAGGTACCATATTTGTATCCATTGCCTACAGTCGCTTCTTTCTTTCCTGGACACTCTCTCCAAATCAGTAGCCAATTCCTTGTGACTGGCACTGGTCCATGGACCACTGCTTTGAAAAGTAATGGTGCAATGAAAGGCCACAAAGCAGCCTTAAAAGGCGTGCTTTTCTCACTCTGAATAAAAACCTCATTTAACTACCAGTAGCAAAGGTGTGAAAGGATATTCCACCTGAACATTACGAAGACTTCTATCAGTGAGAGCTGTTCAGCAGTGGAACTCTCTGCCCCAGAATGTGGGGGGTGCTCCTCCATTGGAGGCTTTTAAGCAGACGCTGGATGGCCATCTGCCGGGGGTGCTTTGAATGCGATTTTCCTGCTTCTTGGCAGGGGGTTGGACTGGATGGCCTACAAGGTCTCTTCCATCTCTATGATTCTATGGTTCTAAGTGTCCACAGAAAAACCCCCACTGATTTCTCCTCTCTGTATGTTTTGCAAAGCCCTTCTTTACCTTCTACCAGTCACCTGTACATTTTGCTGCACCCTGTATTTTTCAAACTTGTAGCTTTCTCATAATGGAATATTATTAAGCCTGCTAGAAACCATGAGCTAATTTCTATTAATGAGACTCAAGAGAAGCCCCTTCACACGTGCTTTCTGGCTGCAATAAGCATCTGGCTTACGCTAACAAGATCAAAGTGTGCCTTTTAATAAAGCCAATTCTGATTAAAGAGCCATGTGCTGTATTAGAGCCTTAATGTTGATTTACCTTCCCCAGTTGTTCCACTTGTCCATTAGCAAGATAATATCATTTGCCTAAGGCTGCTGAGCTGCTAATACAGTTAAAATGTTCATGAAGTACCTCTCCGGCCTTGACTTTCCTCCACCCCCATAAACTATCTTTAGCGAAATGCATTTCTGAAAAGCCAGCTGTGATCCCTTGCAGGCTTTTCTGAGCAAGAAAGTGGCTAAAAACAGAAGCTCTCGAGAGCCAAACCTGTAATTTAAATCCTTCGCTGCCAAAGGGAAACCCCTCTGTGAAATGGGTAACTTTGCAATTTTCTTCTAAGCAACAAGGAGAACACCTGGATGGCTATTATTTAGGAGTAGAAAAATATCAGGAACCATCAGGAGAAAGCATTCTGAAGTCAGTCCCCATCTTAGAACAGTTAAAACCCATACCTTGAAATTATAATTTAAAAAAATATATCTTTATTAAAGAATTTTCCAATTAAAAAGATAATGGGGGGATAGGATGGATAGGGGAAGAGGGGGAGGTATGTATAGGTTAGGTCTGGGATAAGGGAATTAAGAACTCATACCTTAAAATTCTGTTTGTATTGTACTGGTGAAGTGTGAACACTGGATGCAGTCTGGTATAAACCTGACATGACATTCTGGTTTCCTACAATGCAAACCAAACTACGCTTGGACAAATATGGTTGCTTTAAATTGGGATAGGGGATGAGGTAAGAGATAACTTCTACCTGCAGCAGGCCAGAATTCAGTCCACAATGAATCAATCTATACTGAATAATCAATACCTTTTGAGATCACTTTAACTACCATGGTTCAATGCTATATTGAATTGTAGTTTTACAATTTAACCTGCCAAATAGTACTGGAGCCTCACCAAACTACAACTCCCAGGATCCCAAAGCACTGAGCCATGTTAGTTAGTGACGTCAAACTGTAAATCCCACAGTGCAGATGATAATAATAATAATAATAATAATAATAATAATAATAATAATAATAATAATCTATATTTATATCCTTCCACCATCTCCCCAAGGTGACCCGGAGCAGCTTACATGAGGCCAAGCCCGACAACACATCAATAAAACAATAAACAAAAACAATACAATTAATATAACTCACATATAAACAGTAACACACAAGGATTTAAAAAACCTATGGCCAGGCCAAATGTAATAGTTTAAAATTTAAAAAATAAACTGTGGGCATGAACAGAGGTAGGATGTATCTGATAGGAGGGTTCTAAAAGACAAGTTAAAGTGCTTCTGAGGACATTTTGCTGGGGATTATTTCCTTATTCAGGGGAGGCACACTGGAACAGCCACGTTTTCAGGCTCCTCCTAAAGACTGCCAATGTGGGGGCTTGCCTGATATCCTTAGGAAGTGAGTTCCAGAGTCAGGGGGCCACCACAGAGAAGGCCCTCTCCCTCGTCCCCACCAATCGCGCCTGCAAAGGGGGGGGGGAGCGAGAGCAGGGCCTCTCCAAATGATCAAAGAGATTGCGTGGGTTCGTACACAGATGCCCTTCAATCTCTTTTCACTGCTATACACTTTCTCGAAGAGATTGGGGGGGGGGGGGCTGGAATAGTGGCCAAACGTTCCTCTCCTTTCAAAGTGGAATAAATTGTTGGGGTTCAGCCTGATCCTGATCTGTGTGAACAGGATTCTCTGATAGTTTTTCAAACTGAGCAAGCTCTCCCTGACTCTGACAGTGTGGAATCTGTTGTTGATGCAGAGGTCAGTGGGAATGAAAACAAAACCCAACAGTTAGAAGAGAATGTTTTGGAAGTTAGCCGTGATATCTCCCCACCTGGGCTTGATAACGAGGTCCGGAGAGAACAGATAGTCAGAGATAGATTTGTTTCCCAGTCTGTACGAAGGTCACAGCGCCTTCAGCAGAAAGAGGCCCAAACAGAAAAGTCAAGGGGCGTTTCTAAGAATAGCTTCTTTGGTTTAAGAGCATCCCTGCCGGGTGCTTCTTTAGGTCAAGCAACGTTCGGGACTGTGGCTGGTCTTGGCAGAATTCCTGTGTTCCATGGCCAGTAATCCCAGAGGCTTCTAGTTTCCAAGTTCATGGTTAGTAAAAGGCTAACAGACTCCTGGTTATTGTTTTGTGGCTTTTGAAGTTTTGCTCAAGTTCAGAGATCCTATTGACTACTGTGTTTTTCTGTGGCTTTTTTACTCTGCATTTACCTTTCTTTTGTAACCAATTTTTCATCAATAAACAAGGATTGCTTTTCCTACAGTCCAGAGTGGTGGATTTAATCTTATGGTCTTGTTTCTTGAACTGGGATACAACATAAACATAGGTTCCTAGTATTCCAGTATGTGAGTATTTCTCCCCTACTGAATATACTTCCCTACTTCAACTTTAAGTTGCTCCTCATCCCTCTCCCCTCTTTAGAATAACTTTATAAGTTCCGCAGCCTTAAGAAAGCTCAGAATATTCTTAAGGATTCATCTCAAGTCTCGTTCATCCAACAAAAACAGGCCGGCAGAATGTAGGATAAGTGAAAATGTTGGATAATAAGGAGGGATTAAGCAAAAGCCTATTTAATGTCAAATTACATTACAATTTTGCAAATTAAGTACCAAAATATCATATTTTACAAGAAATCGACAGAAAAAGCAGTTCAATACATGGTAACATTATGGAGTAATTACTGTATTTATGAATTTAGTGCAAAAACATCACAATGTATTGAAACAGCTATGGATCCGGGCAGGCAGACTGCATTGGATAATACAGAATGCTGGATGAATGAAGGTTGGATAAGCAAGACTCTACTGTATCACCATCTGGCAGATGGTACACGGTGTCAAAGACAAGGACAAACAGACTGAGAGATAGCTTTTATCCTAGAGCTGTTACTATATTTGCATTGATGTGGCATTGGAGGCTGCGCAGTGGCGGTTGGAGAATGGAGGGTGTGTAGTTTTTGTGATATGTGATGGTGAAAGCATTTAATTTCATTGTACAATGACAATAAAATTATATTCTATTCTACTTAGTTAAGAAACTAGGTTCTGAAATTAGCAAGAAGGAACTCTTTGTCTGCCTCTGGGAGAGGAAAACAGATGCAAGAGCCACCTGGGCCCCTTTTTTATTTGACTTGTAGGGCACAGGTGGGTAAAGTACAGCACTCCAGATGTTGGGCTGCAGCTTCACAAACCTTAGCCATGATAGCAATAGTGAGGAATGCTAGGAGGTGTAGTACAACAGCATCTATAGGATTACATATTGTTCTACAGAAGTTGTTCCAATCTTTGGTCTTCCAGGTGCTTTGAACTTCAACTCCCAGAAATTCCTGCCAGCTTACCAACTGTGTTGCTGTGAGTTTTATGGGCTGTATGGACATGTTCCAGAAGCATTCTCTCCCGATGTTTCGCCCACATCTATGGCAGGCATCCTCAGAGGTTATGAGGTACCTGTCTGTCCTATTTTGATGTATTCATTTCAGCGGGTTCAGCCTGATGACGTGGACAAGATTTTTGGAGCTGTAAGAGTGACCACATGTGCTCTAGGCCCTTGCCCTTCCTGGCTTATCAAACTTGCCTGTGGAGGATTAGCTGAGTGGCTCACGAGGATTATAAATGCCTCGTTGGAACAAGGACAAATACCAACTAGCCTAAAAAAAGCAATAGTAAAACCAATTTTGAAGAAGTTGTCCCTAGACAACAGTTTTAAACAACTATTGGCCTATTTCTAATCTCCCCTTTTGGGGAAAGGTTCTAGAGCAGGTGGTGGCTTCTCAGCTCCAGGGATTCTTGGATAATACCGATTATCTTGATCCATTGTAGTCTGGTTTTAGACCTGGTCACAGAATGGAGACAGTTTTGGAGCAAGCTATAGGGAGCAAACCACGCCCCTATTAAAGCAGTTCCACTGGCTGCCTATATGTTTCCGGTTCCAATTCAAAGTGCAGGTTATCACCTACAAAGCTCTATATCAGCATTTCTCAACCTGGGGGTTGCGAGGGAGTTTCAAAGGGGTTGCCAAAGTCCATCAGAAAACTTGTATTTCTGATGGTTTTAGGAACTCCTTTGGCAGAGAAGGCTGAAGATCTCACTACCTGTCCTTCTTTTCCTTTTTGGAAACAGACAACGAATCTTTCCACCAAAAGCCCTCCTGTGATGTGATTGGCCAGCTTCTCAGCCAAGTGGAGGGCTGTTTCTGAGACTCCAAGTAGGGAGGGGAGAGCAGGCATGTTTGGCATATGGCAGCATGGTGTGCATGTGCAGGTGAGGGAGAGTGTGCGTGGCTGGAGGGAGGCTCACACCAGCTAGTCCCTTCAAGGCATGTAGGTTCTGTGTGGGAAGTTTTGCCCAATTCAATCGTTGGTGGGGTTCAGAATGCTCTTTGATTGTAGGTGAACTATAAATCTCGGCAACTACAATTTCCAAATGTCAAGGTCTATTTTCCCGAAACTCCACCAGTGTTTACTCAATTTGTGCATACAGAGTATTCGTGCCTAGTTTGGACCAGATTTATCATTGTTTGAGTCCACAGTGCTCTCTGGAGGTAGGTGAACTACAACTCCAAAACTCAAGGTAAATGTCCACCAAACCCTTCCAGTATTGTCTGTTGGTCATGGCAGTTCTGTGTGCCAAGTTTGGTTCAATTCCATCTTTGGTACAGTTCAGAATGCTTGCAGGTTAATCGTTTGGGTCGAGCCTATCTATGGGTTCTAAGATCTGCTGGGGAGGCCCTCGCAAGCACAGTTGGTAGGGATGAGGGAGAGGGCCTTCTCGGTTGTGGCTCCACGGCTTTGAAATGCTCTCCCCAGGGAAATCAGGCAAGCCCCCACAATGCAATCCTTTAGGAGGGAGCTGAAAACATGTCTATTCAAGCAGGCCTGTGATAATGGCTAAGGTATCACCTAAATTGGATGACCTAAATAGAATGAAGCTTTACCCCTTAATTTTAATCTTGACATTTTAACCTGTTTTGTAACTGGGATGCTAAATTTGGTTTGCATAGCTTGTTTCTGACTACTGTTTATTGTTGTATTGTCACTGGTTATTTTTACTCAAATTCGAGATGTTTTCTGTTGATTTTTGGAAGTTATTTTATGTTATTTTGATGCTGTTCATTGATTTGGCAAACTTTTGTTATACTTTATGTGTTCTGTACTGCACTTTTGTTTCCTCGAAAGCCACCCTGAGTCCCTTTAGGGAGATGGTGGCGGGATATAAATAAAGTTATTATTATGCTGGCAGTGGGAGAAACTAAATAGAGGAGAAAGTGAGGCAAGAATCAAGAAGACATATGGCTACCCATTTTCTCTCTCATCTTCTGCCAGACCCTTCTCCCTCCCCATACAGCAGGCTTCTGGGGAAGAGACACCCATTCTAACCAGATGTCTGAACTGATCACTTATACAAGACTTCAGCAATAGGGACAAATGATATTGATAAGCTGGGAGAGTGACAAAACTGATAAAAGGTCTGGATAACAAAGCCTAGAAGGGGTCGTTTAGGGAGCTGGATATGTTAATCTGGAGAATAAAAGGTTATAAGGGGATATGACAGCCATATTTAAATATGTGAAAGGGCATCATATTGAGGAGGGGTGAAGCTTGTATTTTGCTGTTCTAGGCTGGATCCAGACAGGCCTTTATCTTAGAAGCATCTGTGTTAAAAAACGCAGATGTTTCTGGGGGTCTGTCCACACCCACCCCAGAAAGTATGCTTTTTGGGGTAGGTGTCCAGACTTTCTCTCAGAACTAGCCCTCTCGGTGTTTTGGACTTAAACTCCCACAACCCAGGAGGCTGTTAGAAATAATAATAATGATAATAATAATAATAATAAACAAATTTATTTATACCCCGCCACCATCTCCCCTACAGGGACTCGGTGCGGCTTACATGAGGCCAAGACCATACAACAAATTACAATAAAATAAGATACAAGTTACAATAAAATAAACAACATCACAGAAAAATACAGAACATATGACTACAATAAACAAAGTACAAAAAAAAAGCAATAAACCAAACATAATGACAGTGAGCATGTACATAAAATGATTTAAAAACTCAGGGTGAGATAAAGGAGCAGAATTATTTGTGAGTGAGAACTCATAGAGAGACAGGGTGATAGACTGACCTTCATACAAGGGGGGGGGGGTGTACTCCTAGGACAAAGACATTGAGGAGAGCAATAGGTTAAGAATATGGAACTACTCCCCAAAAGCGCAAAGGCAGAGCCAGGTCTTGAGATTCTTTTTAAAGGTTTCTAAGGTAGGGGCTTTCCTAATCTCTCCGGGCAATGAATTCCAGAGTCGGGGGGCCACAGAGGAGAAGGCTCTCTCCCTTGTACCAACAAGGCAAGTCTGAGAAACTGGCAAGGGCAAAAGGAGGGCCTCCCCCGAAGATCAAAAAGTTTGGGCTGGTTCATTGAGAGAGTTGAAGTCCAAAACACCTGGAAGGCCAAAGTTTTCCCATGCCTGAATCTTATTGAATCCAAGCAGGTCAATTCTTAAAGCGAGACCCCAGTGGCGCAGTGGGTTAAACCCCTTTGCCGGCAGGACTGCAGACCGACAGGTCACAGATTTGAATCCGGGGAGAGGCAGATGAGTTCCCTCTATCAGCTCCAGCTCCTCATGCGGGACATGAGAGGAGCCTCCCAAAAGGATGATAAAAACATCAAATCATCCGCGCATCCACTGGGCAACATCCTTGCAGACGGTCAGTTCTCACACCAGAAGCGACTTGCAGTTTCTCAAGTCGCTCCTGACACAACAAAATAATAATAATTCTTAAAGCCCCAACTGCAGATAGACTTATCCTCTTTCAGTCCACAACTTCATCACAAGCCTGCCTTACCTGTAGAGCCCATAGAAACGCAGCTTCTTCATGAGGCCGTGGTACTCATTGTGGGGAGGATACCAGTCGTAAACTTCTTTCCGTTTTGCATATGGCGGTTCGCTCATCAGCTTGACGACTTTCATTGAGGACGGATCTGTTGGCCGAGCGACTTCTCCGAATATCCGGGCGCTGAGACGCGCCATCCGCAAGGCATAGCTGGAAAGGGAGGACATCTCCAACTCCCGACTCAGCGTGCCTTACTGAAAACAAAAGAGTATTGCCACATTATTTGTCTGATTGACATCCAAACCCAGGCTGCGTCTACACCAGGCATAGGCAAACTTCGGCCCTCCGGGTGTTTTGGACTTCAACTCCCACAATTTCTAACAGCCTATGGCTGTTAGGAATTGTGGGAGTTGAAGTCCAAAACACCCGGAGGGCCGAAGTTTGCCCATGCCTGGTGTAGACGCAGCCTGGGTTTGGATGTCAATCAATACAGCTGTTAGGAATTGTGGGAATTGAAATCTAAAACACCCGGAGGGCGAAGTTTGCCCATGCCTGGCATACACTGTAAAATCAATCCAGTTTCACACCATTTCAATTGTTATGAATGCATGGTATAGAGCAGTGTTTCTCAACCTGGGGGTCGGGACCCCTGGGGGGGTCGCAAGGGGGAATCAGAGGGGTCGCCAAAGACCATCAGAAAACACAGTATATTCTATTGGTCATGGGGGTTCTGTGTATGAAGTTTAGCCCAATTTTCTCATTGTTGGAGTTCAGAATGCTCTTTGATTGTAGGTGAACTATAAATCAATCCCAGCAACTACAACTTCCAAATGTCAAAGTCTATTTTCCTCTAACCTCCTCCAGTATTCACATTTGGGCATGTTGAGTATTCGTGCCAAGTTTGGTCCAGATCCATCATTGTTTGAGTCCACAGTGCTCTTTGGATGTAGGTGAACTACAACTCCAAAACTCAAGGTCAATGCCTATCAAACCCTTCCAGTATTTACTGTTGGTCATAAGAGTTCTGTGTGCCAAGACTGGTTCAATTCAGTCATTGGTGGAGTTTAGAATGCTCTTTGATTGTATGTGGACTATAAATCTCAGCAACTACAACTCCCAAATGACAGCATCAATATCCCCTTCAACCCCACTAGAATTCAAATTTGGGCGTATCAGGCATTTGTGCCGAATTTGGTCCAGTGAATGAAGATACATCCTGCATATCAGATACTTACATGATGATTCATAACAGCAGCAAAATTACAGTTGTGAAGTAGCAACAAAAAGAATGTTATGGTTGGGGGTCACCACAATATGAGGAACTGTATCAAGGGGTCACGGCATTAGGAAGGTTGAGAACTACTGGTATAGAGTGTTGGGAGTTGTAGTTTAGTGAAGCACCAGAATTCTTGGCAGAGCGGGCCTTGTAAAGCTACAACTCCCGTAATTCCATAGCATTGAACCATGGCAGTTTAAAGTGGCATCAAACCGCATTAATTCTATAGTGTAGATGAACCCTTCTCTGTTTTTGGTCTTAATAATAATAATAATAATAATCTTTATTTAATACCCACCACCTCCCCAATGGGGACTTGGGGCAGCTTACATGAATAATAAACTTTATTTATAATAAACTCCTGGAATAATAAACTTTATTTATTGAAGATTTCTCCTACCATTTCCTAACAGGCCAACTCCAAATGCTATTTGATTAATATAATTCTATTTCTTGCAATTTATTTCAAATGAACTACACACTGCCCCAAACTCTCCTGGAATAATTCATTACTTTTTATTCTGAAACTAATTCCTCTTTTGAGAGTCTTATAAAACGTGCGGGAAAGAAAAAGCAGCACTCTCCTCTCACCTTTTCCATTCTCAATGCCGTACAAGCCTGCCACCTCCAGGAAGCGTGCTTCCTCCTAAACACTCCGGGTAAAATAAGGAAGCGGAAGTGGGTAGGGGTAGTTATGCGCAGGCGCTGTATCCCACTGGATGCTGCCATCTTGGACAAGAATCAGCGTGACGTCAGCGTACGGAAAGTGTCCTCTGCTATTGTTTTGCTTGGAATTGGTTCAGCAGGTCGATTCAAAAACAAGCCTTGTTGAGTTTATTGAGACTTATACTTTGGTCCAGAGCCATACGGTTCGGAATACATCTACACTGTATAATTAATAGTGTAGATACCACTTTCATAGTTACGGCTCAGTGCTGTGGAATCTTGGGAGTTGTAGTTTTTCAAGGTCTTTAGTCTTCTCTGGCAAAGAGTGCTGGTGCATTACCAAATTACAGTTCCCAGGATTCCAGAACATTGAGCCATGTCTATTAACTCAGTGCATTAATTAAACTACAGTAATTCTACAGTATAGATGCAACTCTGGACTGAGGCTGAGAGAGTGTGACTGGCCCAATGTTACACAGTAGCTTTATTAAGGCTGCTCTCCTTTTATTCTTTCCTTGGAAGAAAGTGTAGTTGAACTTCAGGGGAATCGGTTTCGAATAAATGTGCATTAATTTCAATAGGGCTTGGTTGTTTTGTCCATACAGTCCTCTTTGTTTATCGTAATATAATGCTTATTATATATATATATATATATATACTTATAATATTTATAATATTATAATATAATACAATATAATACTAATAATAACATGATAATATAATTATATATTGCATGTAATATTACTAATATTTCAATATAATGGTAGAGTACAATATAGTAATATATAATACTGATATTGTACTATGCTAATAATATAATATATTGTATGTATATATATCTTGTAAGCTGCTCTGAGTCCCCTTTGGGGTGAGAAGGGCGGCATATAAATGTTGCAAATAAATAATATAATATAATAATTATTACTTTCTTGCAATATTTATAATGTACCCTTTGTTCAAGGACCTCATGGCAGCGTTATGATAAAATAATAATAATAATAATAATAATAATAATAATAATAATAATAATAAAACTTTATTTGTACCCTGCTACCATCTCCCCAAGGGACTCGGTGCGGCTTACATGAGGCCAAGCCCGCAGTACATCAATAAAACGAAGGCAATAACAAAATAATCAATACAAAACAGTAAAATACATCTCAAAACAAAAATAAACAATAAACAATAACAATGAACAATAACATACAAGCATTTAAAAACCTATGGCCGGACCAAATGTAATAATTTAAAATTTAAAAAATAATGCTGGGCATGAACAAGGTAGGGTATAACTAGGATAGGGTTTTCAAAGAAAGATGAGGCCTAACACATTTTAAAATGTGTAATACTTTAATACTAAAGTTTAAAAGTTATGAACGTATTAAACATACACTCTGGATGCTTTTAAGCAGAGGCTGGATGGCCATCTGTCAGGAGGGTTTGGAATGTATTTTCCTGCCTGGCGGAATGGAGTTGGACTGGATGGCCCATGGGGTCTCTTCCAACTGCATCATGCTAAAAGAATTCATGTCCATCTTTCCTTCACATGTTTGAATCTGCTATGACAGGGGTTTTTTTTTCTGAAAATAAAAAATGCCTTTTTTGCAGATCTCATATTTAAAAATATATACCTTTTCATCTAATCAAACTGTTTTGACGCTGCAAGCTCTTTTTGATTATAAACCCTGCAGCTTTTAATAGCATGTTGTTTTTTTTCATTTTAAGGTGGCCGTTCTATTGTACTTTTGTTCTGGCAATTCGATAGTTCTCAAGGAGTCTATTTGAAGGGTTGGATTTATATTTAAATTTTTACACTGAGTGATAAGATAAGCTTTATTCCCAGTGAAACGTGGACAAGGAGGGTCAAGCACACCAGCAGCTTTAAAAGCCAACGGGATTCGGGACAGAATCAAAAGGAGCATTGTGTCTCCCAAGGGAAGTCGTAATGTTTCTCTGTTAGGCTTTGGCTACACCTCACCTGGAATACTGCGTCCAATACTGGACACCACAGTTTAATAATAATAATAAACTTTATTTATACCCTGCCAACATCTCCCCAAAGAGGACTCGGGGCAGCTAACATGAGGCCAAACCCAAGAGTTACAATACAGCAAAGTAAAATACAACAAACAAGTAATAACATCAAATAAAATGCAAACAATAACAAGTATACAATAAACAAACACAACTGAAACGATGGAAGAATCAAAAACAGAGTGGTCAGCCCAAATGCACAGGCTAAAATTGATAAAACCCTGGGTGAGATAAGTAAATGGAGTAATGTGTGCCTGAGGGGAAGACTCAGAAGGGACGAACAGTGGGGTTGACATCCACTAAGGGACAAGAGAGAGCATCAAGAGGACAGATCTGTATTGGAACGAACATAGTATGGAGGTATGTGTTCATTCGTCAAAGGCACACCTGAAGAGCCAGGTTTTCAGGCCTTTCTTAAAGGCTGCCAGGGTGGATGCTTGCCTAATCTCACTGGGTAGCGAGTTCCAAAGCCGAGGGGCCATGATGGAGAAGGCTCTCTCCCTCATCCCCACAATCCAAAGAAGAGATATTGACAAGCTGGAACAAGTCCAGAGGAGGGCAACAAAAATGATCAAAGGAATCCCTATGAGGAGTGACTAAGAGCTGGGTATGTTTAGCCTGCAGAAGAGAAGGTTGAGAGGAGACATGATAACCATGTATAAATATGGGGAAAATGTCACAAGGAGGAGGGTTAAGGCTTGTTTTCTGCTGCTCTGGAGACTAGGACTCAGCGCAATGGGTTCAAATTACAGGAAAGGAGATTCCACCTGAACATTAGGAAGAACTTCCTGACTTTAAGAGCTGTTCAGCAGTGGAACTCTCTGCCTCGGAATGTAGTGGAGGCTCCTTCTTAGGAGGGTTTTAAACAGAGGCTGGATGGCCATCTGTCAGGGTGCTTTAAATGTGCGTTTCCCACATGGTGGGGGTTGGAGTAGATGGTCCATGCAGTCTCTTCCAACTCTATGATTCTGTAAGTTGGGTCTTTTACACCTCTGAAAGGCAACTGTGATTGTCCTTAACATCACTCTATATCAGACAGTATGGTCCTTGAGTTTATTTCCATATCAAGTTGGCTTTTGTCTTGATCGGTAGTCTAGGATGTTTTACTTGAAACTGAAGCAAGTCGGTTGAAGAGGAAGTGAAATGCTTACAGATATTACACAAGTATAACTGTTTGCAAGTGTTTGGCCATATTTTGGCAATACTCATTTCTTAGCTCTAGTCTGTTTTCAACAGTCTGTTACTCCTTTTTTTTGGGACATTTCGGACTGTTTGCAGTTGCATTTTTGTGACCTTTATATGTATCTTTACATTGTTGATTTGCTTCCATTACGTTTCCATTACATTTTCATGTTCTTATACCTTAATATGTTGATAAGTTATGAATGTTACTTTCATTTTTCCTACTACACACCTGTTGTCTTCCAGTTATTGTCTTGCCTCTGTTGTTCCTATGCTTTTTAATATATCAGTCCAAAATTATTTAGTCTATATACAGTCTACACAAAATTGTTGTAGTTGGCTTTTTATTTCTCACGTAGTTCTTTTCTTTTCTCTTTCCTGTTTTAATTCTTTGACAAAGATGTGGACCTCTAGAAATTGTTGGACAGCAGCTCCTATTTTACGACTTTCTCTTGGTCTATTTGGCAGAATATTGAATTCTTATTGCCATAGTTTGCCTCTCTTCTATCTTATATAATCCATATAGCTTTCTCTAAGTTTCAAAACTTCTAATTCAAAATTCACATGCCTCTTTGAATCAGACAGCACATTCCCTTTAAGGATTCATCCCATTTGCTGGGAAGTAGCAGCCAATAATGAAAGGACCAAGACAGTGACATCTCTGGCACATTCTCTGTTCGGATATCAGTCAGCATGTCAACATCTTAAAGAAAGAAATAGCTTTCTAAGATATACAGAGATAATCGCAGGAACACTTCAGCAAGCGAGAGTCCAAAAGTGGCAGGCTAAAACTCAGAACCTCAAGCCATGGCTGATACTGAATGAGAGACTCCCCTTGGGCACACAGAAAACTGAGCAACCTGGAAGGCACTGAACAGACTGCTCTCTGGCACCACGAGATGCAGAGCCAACCTTAATAAATGGGGTGACACAGTGGAGTCCACAACATGCAAGTGTGGAGAAGAGCAAACCACAGACCACCGGGATTGTGGCGCAGCTTGCTGTCAGCTGCATTAAGATCACTCTGACCAAAAGGTCATGAGTTCGAAGCCAGCCCGGGTTGGAGTGGGTTTCCAACCAATTGTGTGTAGCCTGTTGTCGACCTTTGCAACCCGAAAGACAGTTGCATCTATCAAGTAGGAAAATTAGGTACCACCTTAAAAGTGTGGGGAGGCTAAATTAACTGATTTATGAGGCCATAAAGAAGACTCCAGCAAAGCATTCCAGCGGGGAAGCATGTGGGGAATGCGGAAGTGCTTCATCAGCGTTGCAGATGGACGATGAAAGTGACAGCTCCCCTGGCGGCCAGAAAAAGTTAAATAGCCTCTGTGTATGTCTGTATATGTTTGTATGTCAAAAATTGGCATTGAATGTTTGCCATATATGTGTACACTGTAATCTGCCCTGAGTCCCTGCGGGGTGAGAAGGGCGGAATATAAAAACTGTAAATAAATAAATAAATAAATATTACAATGCAACCTAAGCTGTGCCACATGCACAATGGAGGACCTCCTTATAGCAACACCAGAGGCACTCCAAGTGGCCAGCTACTGGCCAAAGGACATTTAATATAATGCCAAGTTTTTTAAACTTTGTGTTGTTTAAATACATTACAATTATATCCTTGTTTCACTTCTGATACAATAAATAAACAAGGTTTTCTGGGGCTGAGAGTGTGTGACTTGCCCAAAGTCACCAAATGGAGCTGGGATTCGAACTCCGGTCTTTAGAGTCATAGTCCAACCATTACTCCATGCTGTCTCTCAGCCCAAACCTTATCCCTTTCCT